GCTGGAGATGTAATTTCACATAGGTAAAATTTATCCACTAAACCTCACTATGTATACAAGATACTGCGTTGGGCAATGTGGGATTCCCCTCAAGAAAAGACAGAATTACTTTGTCTTATACAAAAATATAATTACAAATAACATAAACTTCAAAGAAAGGTAATAAGAAGTAAATTTAAAAATTCTCAGTGGACATGAGTTTGAGCAGGCTCCAGGAGATGGTGACGGACGGGGAAGCCTGCCATGATGCTGTCCGTGGGCCTGTAGAGTCGGACACAACTCAGTGACTGCACAGTAAATATCACTTGAACATCATTTCTACAGGAAAATGTCTTTTGGGTTCTAAGTCAACAATTCACAAAGAAGATTTTAAAAATCAGCTTTAGCTTAAAGGTTAGTTATCTATGAAAAAATTCACAGGAATCCCGAAGTCCATAAAAAAGAACAAAAGACTCAAATCATCCTCTTTGACCTAGAAAATTACACTTCTAGAAACTTAGCCTACAGATATCCTTGCTCTGAATAAAATAATACAGCAGCTTTGAAACAGCAAGAGCTGTGTGCCCATTGATAAGAAAAATTATGGTACACCTATAAATGGAACCATTTAGAAAAAAAAAACAGTAGCTGCATATGAACTAATAAAACTCTTATCTTCAAGATGTAAGTTACAAAAAAGAAAACAAGCTAAGTGCAAAACAGGGTGCAGTATATGTAAGTAAAAGTGAAAGTGAGAAAGTGAAATCATTCACTCGTGTCCAACTCTTTGTGACCCCGTGGGACTGTAGTCCACCAGGCTCCTCTGTCCATGGGATTTTCTAGGCAAGAGTACTGGAGTGGGTTGCCATTTCCTTCTCCAATGTAAGCGAAAAACAAAACATAAACCTACAACATACTCAGGTGCTGTACATGCATAGACTACCTCTAGAGGGATGCACCAGAAACCAGTGTTCCTGGGTAGGACAACTACGTTTTTAGGTACAGGTGGGTGAGAGGCCTACTCATTACTATACATCCTTTTGTATCTTTGGAATTCTTATCGTGTTTCCATTTTAAAGAATAGATCACTACTTTTAAAAATACTTGAACCCCAGCCTCAATAGCTTTCAATTTATATTACATGCCTGACAATTTCTCTATGTCATAAATCTTTACATTCCTACAACTCCTTGTGCTCAATTTTCTACCTATATATGAAAATAAACCATAAAAAATTATTTATAATTTTCAGAAGATATTTGCAGGCTCAATTTTTCTAACCTATATATAAAAATAAAAGTATAAAAGAATTCTTTATAATTTTCAGACGATACTTGAAAACTCACCTTAAATATGATGACAATAGGTATATCTTCTGACAAAGTATTATGTCTCAAATAAAACCGTCCTTGTTTCACAGCCATATTGGTTCTGCTTTTTTTCTCATGAGTAGAGCTATAAGAAAACACAGTTGGTTAAACTACATTCCCACCTAGTTTCAAGCTAGTAACATGCAAGAGCAATAACTAACAATCAATAAGATTCAAGTGATCAGCAATGATCAGTAAGGTCCTTCCAAACAGGTACCTTTGAAAGACACATAACTCGTCTCCAGCCTCCTTTGCCACTTCCATGAACATTTTAGAACACTAGAATTGTTTCTTTAGCTGTGAGATTATGGCAGAAGTTCTATGGGTGAATAAGCAATAATCACCAATTCATTTTAACCTACTTTACTTTGATTCCACCTGAACTGCTTTGTTCTAATATGGGATATATTTCTGATCAATTTTAAACATTTGAAAAGAAAAACTTTAAAATGAGTCTATACCACAATAGGAAAACCACAAGGAAATGAATGCATAGTATGAACTTTTAAAATAATAATCCAATAAAACATAGTACAGTTTTAGTATATAGTGAAGTCAAAAGAAACTAAGGAATCTCTTATTGAGATCTCAGTTAGCTGAAACTTTCCTAATGGATTTAAAAACATTTCCTAGCTTTAATCCACCACAATAACAACACATACTGATCACCTATTACATACTGTGCACTGTTATTCACTCTATGAACATTAGCTGTAATCTCCTACATACTAACACTTATTTTGTAGTGTTATCCCTAAATCATGTATGAAAGAAACCAAGGCTTAGAGAAGTTAAGTACTGTAATTTCACTCCCAAGTGCCTTATGGCTAGTAAACAACTGTGGGATTCAAATCCTGATTGCCCTGGCTTCAAAAGCTGCATACAACAGGAAGATGTGGGTTCCAGAATTATTACATCTTGGTCCAAATGCTGGCTTCCTCTGATGGTCAATGTCAACCCGTGAGCAAGGCCTGTTACTCACCTGAAAATAACTGCACTTACCTTGGAGGGCAGAGGTGACAAATACATATAACACACCTAATACACTCTCTGGCTCCGACTAACTGCTCAACAAATGGGCATTATTGTTAGCTGCCTCTTCACCAGAAAGAAAAATTCTGAAACTCTAAGCTGAGCAGTTCATTATAAGGCATCAGAATAGAAACACTATTTCATACTGACATCTTAACCATGAAAGCATCACCAGCCATTCTTCCAACAGCGCAACTGAGCAGTGACAGCAAACTCCTAGTCTTTCTGTTGGGTTGACCAAAAGGTTAATGTGTATTTTTCTATAACATAGGAAAATCCAAACGAACTTTTCAGCCAATTCAATACCATCATGTTATGGTACGGGGAGACAGTAGTTCAGTCGTGTCCGACTCTTTGCAACCCCGTGGACTGTAGCCTGTCAGGCTCCTCTGTCCATGGAATTCTCCAGACAAGAATACTGGAGTAGGCTGCCATTTCCTTAATTTAAAGGGGTTTGTCAATATTGTTTTACAAATTGTTAACAGTCTCAGCACATGATTTAAACAAATGAGCCACAAGATAAATTTCTGGAGGACAAGGAATGCATCTTATTGGTCTATGGATCATCAGGTCCTGACATATGAGAAGTGAATTTTAAAAAAAGCCAAATAAATTAGTCTTCAGATTTTCTAAGCACAGAAATAACTGACAATCTTCAGTATAAATTAAAATTCACTCCAAGTTTTCCAACAAATCACTGACAATGGCAGATTAAGAGCAGGTTTCCAAAATATATTCTATACTTGACAAAACTCATAAAACATTATGTTACACTTTTTTGCACACAATTCAGAACAGGATAAAGTGAAACTGTTTTACATTCAGCATATAAGCAAAAACAAGGCAATATATTTGACTTATGAAAAACATCCTATTATTGCTCTAGTAAAGTCACATTCTGTGTTATCCTCTTTCCAAAACCTTCTGGGATTCTACACCAGTCACTCAGTCATGTCTGACTCTTTGTGAGCCCATGGTCTATACAGTCCATGGAATTCTCCAGGCCAGAATACTGGAGGGGGAAGCCTTTCCCTTCTCCAAAGGATCTTCCCAACCCAGGGATCAAACCCAGGTCTCCCACACTGCAGGTGGATTCTTTACCAGCTAAGCCACAAGGGAAGCCCAAAAATACTGGAGTGAGTGGCCTATCCCTTCCCCAGTGAATCTTCCTGACCCAGGGATTGAACCAGGGTCTCCTGCATTGCAGGCTGATTCTTTACCAACTAAGCTATCAGGGAAACAATATATGCAACTATAAAGGAACTAGATTAACCATAAACTAAATCAAAGTGAAACATGAATTAAGGAATTAAAATAACATTCTGTAAACTGCTAAGCATGAAGCTTAAAAAAAACTGCCTAGAAATAAGTACGAAAATATAACTTCAAAAAATTTAAACAGAAGACTCATTTTTTGCCCTGATACAGCATTCAAAACAGCCGGAAGTGAGCTTCTTGTGTCTTTTCAGATGAGATAGACAAAGAATTTCGTGAGATGATTTTTGAATTTTTAAGCATACTAAAAAACACCACTGAGCAAAGAGACAGCCTGATAAACCATAGCAATAAACCAGAACGTCCTGGGTGTTCATTGGAAGGACTGATGTTGAAGCTGAAACTCCAACATTTTGGCCACCTGATGCGAAGAGCTGACTCTTCTAAAAAGATCCTAATGTTGGGAAAGATTGAGGGCAGGAGGAGAAGGGGACAACAGGAGATGAGATGGTCAGATGGCATCACTGACTCAATGGACATGAGTGTGGGTAAACTCCGGGAGATGGTGATGGACAGGAAGGCCTGGCGTGATGCGGTTCATGGGGTCACAAAGAGTCGGACACGACTGAGCGACTGAACTGAACTGAACTGAGGTATTAAAGTTTTAAGCCTGAAATAAAAGAGGAAACAACATACCTTTAAAAATGCAAACTAACAGAATAAAGTTGAAACCAAACTGCTATATGTTTTGCAAACAAAATTTTATCCTAATTCACTAAAAGAAGAAAGGCTGATCTTGTTTCTGAGATAAAAATGGTAAATCAACAGCAAGAGCAAAAAGAGACAGCCTGATAAACCATAGCAATAAACCAGAACGTCCTGGGTGTTCATTGGAAGGACTGATGTTGAAGCTGAAACTCCAACATTTTGGCCACCTGATGCGAAGAGCTGACTCATCTAAAAAGATCCTAATGTTGGGAAAGATTGAGGGCAGGAGGAGAAGGGGACAACAGGAGATGAGATGGTGAGATGGCATCACTGACTCAATGGACATGAGTGTGGGTAAACTCCGGGAGATGGTGATGGACAGGAAGGCCTGGCGTGATGCGGTTCATGGAGTCACAAAGAGTCAGACACGACTGAGCGACTGAACTGAACTGAGGTATTAAAGTTTTAACCTGAAATAAAAGAGGAAACAACATACCTTTAAAAATGCAAACTAACAGAATAAAGTTGAAACCAAACTGCTATATGTTTTGCAAACAAAATTTTATCCTAATTCACTAAAAGAAGAAAGGCTGATCTTGTTTCTGAGATAAAAATGGTAAATCAACAGCAAGAGCAAAACAAAAGCAAAAACAAAAATAAAAGAAGGAAGTGGAGGGGAAATCTAAGAAATCACACCTACCTGGATCTAAAGGACATTCATTCAGTTTAGCAAATTCTGCTGGTGTTTTTCCTGTAAGAACACAGTTTGAACTACGCAGCATTATGGGCATTCTGTTTAAAATAAAACAAAAAGAAAATATCATATTCAGATGGTCACTGGCAAAAAGGCTGAACAGAACACAAGCTGGCCAGTGCACACACCACTGAGGAGTCTGCATTCCTGTTGGACATTTGAGGAAAGGCAGAGGGATGGTATTGTGGGAGAGGGCTGAGTGAAACGAAGTACATCCTCAGGCACACCGTTTTTCTGGTACAGAAAACAAAAACCCAAATCCACGGTTCCCTTCAACTTTGCAGACAATCCTGAGTGACTGTCAACAAATGGCGGCAAGTCTTTTGTGGAAAACAAAGCCACTCGCCTTAGTCACGTAGAGACAGCACTATGAATCAAAGTGTAAGGAACCAGAGACTCTCAGAACTAACCAGGCAATTCTGAAAAAGAACATTTAACTGGACACAACTCTGGTCCATTTATAAGAGAGAAGCTCTTCTCTTTTAACCCTGATTAACAGTTGTGTTAAAACAAAGATTAAAAATTGTTTAATATCCCTATTTCTAAGCGAAGAATGAAGAGAATGTAGCCAAGTGAGCAATGTCTTAAGTATCTTCTATTTACCTGACAGAGGTACCAGCATAGCACGTGACAGTACCAGGTAGCTGGTACATATTTGATGAACAAATGGATATTTACTGAGCGCCTGGCCTAATAATAAACAAACGCATGTTTATTAAGTTCTTTTGAGGCAAGGGGCAACACTTGAGTGGCAATGAGTTGCATTGTGTTTTCCAACATCATCATTAAATATACAATATCGTGGATCGGATCCATTTCCACAGGAGAGTTGATACATTTCTCTAATTAGGAAAAGCAGGCAGCAAAAATGCCAGCTGGTGCTATCATTTCCAAACTTGTCCTGGGCAAATAACTTCTCCCCTAAATACTGCTATGAACATTCATTCTTCCAAGAAAACTCAAAATATGCAAAAATCCACCAAGACGGGCCCAGGAGAGTTGAATGAAATGCTATCTTACCTAGTGCTTCCCTAACAGCCTGGAGTTACAGGAGGAAACCGAAGTGGTTTCCTTAACTTCACAACTGAAACATAACAACGTGATGGACGCTGCTCCAAGTGTTTTACACGTACTAACTCACTGGACCCATAAAGCAACCCGGTGAAGTAGGCTCCATTTCCCCCACATTCAGATGAGAGAATGGGGCAAGGAGTGCGCCAGTACTGCTCAGGGGAGACCTCACAGGGCCACAATGCAGGCAGCGTCAGCCTCACCTGCCAATGGGTAAGGCATTACGGATGATCCTCTGGCTGCCTCGGGTGTACTCGATATCCACCGTGATGGGAGCGGAGTAGGTCATGTCGCGCAATCGGCACTGGAAGAGAATCAGACAATCACTGCTCCTCCTCTGGGGCAAGAATGGGTCCCAACAGCCTCGAAGAGCCAATCTTAAGCAGAAGTAAGGCCCATGCTGGACTCTGACCCTCCATGGTACCCAGCTGCTCCCGTGCTGCCTTAAGGGAACTGGGAGTTATGACCTTACCTTTTCCATGAGGGGACAATGCCAACCATGGATCTAGACATTGCCACAGCATCCCTGCCCCTGCCAGCCCAGAAATGGGACAATAATCTTGGACGGAGTCTCTTCTCCCTGACCTGATGTTATCACCAGTCTCCTCCCACATCTTTGAAACCATTAGAGCCTACTTTGCAAACTGGGACCTTGGAAAGTCATCAATGTGGCTGGTTTACTCAAAACAGTTAACAACCAGTTCAGAGACTGAATACACACACACACATGACTGAAGTGTGTCCACACACAAACAAAAAATTTAATGAATCTCCTTGTCTTCTTCAAATAAGCTAAACTATATCACAAAATTCCTTTGCAAGTGGCATGTCAGAGCGCAATCACTCAACACATCATTCTAACACTTTCTGAGTCACTTGCAGAACTTTTGGAATGGTCAGTGCGAGCTTTACTTTTACGTGGCCACGACTCACTAAGTGATGCCCTTGCCTGGGCCATGATTGGACACAGGAAACACACAAGAATCTTCCAAAGACTTCTCTAATATATTGAAGGTCATCAGATGGCTTGTGGTCTCAAAAAGAGAATTCCTCTGAACCTCAGTCATACAGTTCATGATGCTGAATCCTCTCTTGGGCTTTTACTAAAGCAAAGACAGATACAAACTTTTTTCTAGCCTAATAGTGCCTAGGGTTTTAAAACAGTCACCTCAGTTATGTCCAATTCTTCAAGACCTCATGGCCTGTAGCCCGCCAGGTTCCTCTATCCATGAAATTCTCCATGCAAGAACACTGGAGTAGGTTGCAATTTCCTTATCCAGGGGATCTNAGGGAGGCCTGGCGTGCTGTGATTCATGAGGAGGCAAAGAGTTGGACACGACTGGGCAACTGAACTGAACTGAATGTAGTAGCCATGATAGGCAGATATTCATGGTCTTAACAATCCCTTCAAATGGGAATGAAACTGGACAGGACCCCAAAACTGCCTCAGGGACCCCTCTGTCCCCCTCGGATGCTCTCTGTGATCAATAGGAATAGAGTTGTATGGCAGAGCCTATGATACCTGCACCCCTAGTCTTGCTGTGGGTCCCATGACTGCCCACCCACCTGGCTCTCCCACACTCCCTATCTCTCCAAGAGTCAAAATCCCTCCAAGAAACCTTTGCATCCTCTTTCTCTAACTGCAGTAACACCCGTGAGCTTTCCTCAGCGTCAGCCTTCTTGAACTACTTTGAATTAGTTGTCTTCTCCCTTTTTTGGAGAATACTTTTTTCCCCTATCTTTAAATCATTTTTTAAGAATTTATTTTAAGGGCACTGACTCTTCCAATTAAGCCAAATGAATCCAATTAAATTATGGTTGGTAATTACCTCATGAGGGGACACTGGTCTAGTTACGTTGAAGCTTTCTTCAACATCAGGGAGCCCGACATAGATATTAAGATATCTGAAAGGCAAGTTATTCCAGAATCAATTATACTTCTTCAAAGAACATATACACAATCAAGCTATTTTCCTTCCAAATACGAGATTACACTTTTGACAAATGCTTATCTTGCACAGGATGCAAATTAAAAAATTACAATTGGAGATTCTGAAGTCATAGAACACACGGTTTACAAAGGAGAGGAAATACCATCAAGCTGACTTCTTAAAAAAATACGGTAAATCTCTCAACAAAAATACTGAAATTATAGCTTCCTAAAAATGATACTTAAGAAAAAAAGCAAATGCAAGAGTATCTATAGTTTTCTATCATTCTTGTAAGAAAGGCAACATACAAATATTAGTAAATTTTATTCTCACAGAGTGGTGAATTAACAATTCTGAAACTACTTTCTATGTATCCTAGGACTGAATAAACAATAGGTATAGCTCTGTCTACTGAGACTTCAGTACCCAAATCCTGGTGCCTAAAAGACTACTCTCCAATAAAGGAGACTAAGGATACTTGGAAAAATGATTGATTCCAGGCTGGAACAGGGAAAATACTACATGAACCACATCTCATGGTACCAGAAAGTAAAGGAGTGCTCGAAACAGGGGCATGTTAAAAGGTCAACTCGATGGAAGCTTCCTATGGCCAAATCTGGGACTATTTGAGAAATAAAATAATGACAGTACTGGATTATGATGTAAATAATAAAATAACTATCTATGAGTTCATATTGATTTAAATAAAATTACAATAGAACAGGAAAGACTAGAGATCTCTTCAAGAAAATTAGAGATACCAAGGGGACATTTCATGCAAAGACGGGCTCAATAAAGGACAGAAGTGGTATGGACCTAACAGAAGCAGAAGATATTAAAAAGAGGTGGCAAGAATACACAGAAGAACTATACAAAAAAGATCTTCATGACCCAGATAATCACCATGGTGTGATCACTCACCTAGAGACAGGCATCCTGGAATGTGAAGTCAAGTGATCCTTAGGAAGCATCACTACGAACAAAGCTAGTGGATGTGATAGAATTCCAGTTGAGCTATTTCAAATCCTAAAAGATGGTGTTGTGAAAGTGCTGCA